CGCCGCTGGACGCCGCTCGCGCATGCGCGGTTAGCAGTCGCTGCTGGGCGACTGCCGGCGGGATTTGTCTGGGGAGACACGGAGACCGAGTGGCAGCGAGTGTGGACACCTGAGCTGCCACTGCTGAAAACTGGCCCGCAAGACAAGTGTGTGGGCATCGGGCCTCCTTCCTGCCGCCGTGCGCTCTGGCTGGGGTGAGGAATCCCAGTCTTTGCTGCGCCCCGGGGTGAGGGTTCCTGGGCCACACCCTTTTCTTTTGCGACTGGAAAGGCTGAACAGGTTAGGGCCAGGTGAGGAGTTGGATGTTGAGGTGGAGCCTGGGGGTGCAGCCAGAGCTGCTGTGGGGTAGGTTCTGGCGGCTTCGTGGGCACATAGGCCAGCTCTGGGCAGAGGGAGTGGATGCCACCTCCGGGTGGTTGGGTCCTCTGGAACTGCTGTGTGCACCTGCTGCGCTGGGGCAGACGCGGGCAAGGCCAGGTGCCCCGCGCAGCCAGGCCTACCCCTGTGGGCTTAAGTCCGTTATCCCAGCGGTCATCCTTCCTGCCCCGTTCCACGCTCGAGCACCGAAACGCGCCCCCACGGAGAGTAGAGAGGGCCGGGGGCATCTCGGCGCTGCTCGCCCCACTGACTGCTCCTCGCAAAAGCTCCAACAAGAACAAACTTGGCTCAGCTTAATCCATCCCACCTCTGTAAAGGCGAAGGGACCCAACCCTCTGGTGGAGGTGGCCAGTGACTCCTTAGATACGCGTGGATCCCAAAGTGCGTCACTGGGGACCGCGCGAAAGAGTTGTGTTGAATCCAATGAAGCCCTAATTACTGGAGACTCATTATCTCCTAAAGCCTGTTTACTATCAATCAGACACTTTAGCTGAATTTATTAATAGCATCTTCCCAGGCAACAAGGGGGAGGCGTTTGCTTGGGATTTAAAATCAAAAGACAACAAAGCTCAGGAGCAGAGAGAGAAGGTAAATTACGCCTCCTTGTGAAGAAGTCGCAAATTAGAGCGAATTTGTACTGAAACTTTCTGATGCATAAAAATCAACAAAACTTCACTTGGTATTATGGTTTTGCCTGTTTTTAAGATTTTACATCACTCTCGTAGCCCTCCTTTTGGTAATTTTAAGTTTGACTTATTTTCCATGTGCAGTTTTGCCTTAGCATTCTCTTGGTTTGATTTTACAAGTCACGTTTAGACTTTGTATCAAGGTTCTTTGAAAAATATACACTATATTCTTCGCCTTACTTATCTTGTTCATAAAGTTAATTAATATTTGTAAAGGATGTAGGTGTGTTGGTGGGTCTGTAGATATTGACTAGTGCTGTAAATGAACTTAATAATGCGTTAGTGCACTGACTAATCACATTAGTATCTTAATTTGAACACTGCAGCTGTCAACTCTAATGGAACTTTAGATCATCTAGTTCAACCCTTTCCCTACACAAATGAGAAAACAGGCCCAGAGCAGTTGAATCACTTGCCCTTTTAATAATAGAACTTGAAACTTGGTGCTATGGTGTCAAGCTCAAAAAGTGCTTTATGTCATTGAGTTGAGTTCTTGTAGTGACATGACAATGAAAACTTTAAATTATAGGCAATTTTCAGACACCACTCCTGGTGTATGCCAGCAGTGGCCAATACCTCAGTCAACTATGTGACTGAGTAACAGCAGAAGACTTCTCAGAAAAAAATCATATATATAGGTGGGGCATGGCGGTGCCTGCTTGGAATCCTAGTGGCTTGGAGGTTGAGGTTGGAGGATCATAAGTTTGAGGCCAGCCTGAGCGGCTTACACCTAGTCTCAAAGAATATTTTTTAAAATGGACTGGGGATGTAGCTCAGTAGTAAAGTATCCCTGGGTTCAATCCCCAGCACCAAAAAAATTTTAAAAAAAGAAAGCCCACATATAGAAGGGAGTGTATGTTAAATAGATGAGTGCTGAGAATTAAAGAAATGAGTCTTAGAGTGGATTTTATGCTGAAAACTCTCAAGAACTATTGGCTATTTTTATAAACAGGTTATACATGAAGACTTGTGTTTTAGGAAAAAAATCATGCAAGAAATGAAATGAAGGCATAAAGTGGCAACTTACTAATACTGTTCAGAAAGGATAGGTTTTAAAATTAAGGCTGAGGTATAAAAATAGAGATATTCTAGGGGAACTCAGATGGCTTTATTTACCAATGATGTAGGAAATCAGCAAGAGAAGACTCAGGAAAATGGCACAAGCGACTGATTTGATTGACTAGAGGTGCTGTTAATAGGAGAAGGGAATAAAAAATGGAGAAGCAGGTTTTGCAGGAAAGAACAAGTTGAAACTATTGGAGATTTGGGGACATCTTTGGAGATTCATTGAAATTAAGGTAACCTCTGAGCTGTGGATAAGGTTTAGGAATCTTTAGCTAGCTTTAGGTTGAAACCAAGAATATATGTGAAAGCTTGAGAACACAGACCCCTAAAGAATACCAACATTTCAAAAGACTAGAGAAAGTGTCCATGACAGAGGACAGAAGAGGGAAAGAGGCAGGAAGGTGTACCATGGAAAATGAGGCCAGAGAGGGTCCAAGGAGGAGGCAGGCCATGAGGTCAGAAGGGGTGAGACCATAGTGATCTGCAAAAATGCTCCTGAACTTGACTTGTTAGTAGCAACAGTTCCAAAGATAAGTTTCAGAGAAGCAAGAAATAGAGTATAGGAAGAATATTAGTTTTGCCTGCTGCCATAACACTGCCACTAATTCACTGCAGCTTAAAGCAACACAGTTTTATTGTCTCACAGTTCCATAGCACACAAGTCTGACACAAGTCTCACCAGGCTAAAAACAAGGTGCCAGCAAGGCAACCTTCAGGCCAAGGGTTCAGGGATGATCTGTTTCCTCACTTATTCAAGTTGGTGGCAGAATTCAGTCTCTCGGGTTGTGGGACTAAGGACCCTGTTTCCTTGCAGAGGGCTCTTTCTGGTTTCTCAAGATCACCCATGCCCTTGACTCATGGTCCATTTCCTTCATCCTCAAAGCCTCCAGTGGTAGATAGAATCCTGGGCTCTCCCTCTTGAAATCTCTCCTCCCTGTCTGTCTCTCTGACTTTCTTTTCCACTTTGAAGGTCCCTGTAACTACACTGGGCCCACCTGGATAAGCAAGGCCTTTCTCCTTGTTTAAGGTCCTAATTTGGAATCTTAATTCTATCTGCAAAGACCCTTTTGCTGCATGAGGTTACATTCCCAGGGACCTAGTGTGGACATCTTTGGGGGACTATTTTTTTCAGTCTGTTATAGAAAGTTAGAACTATTAGCAGATAATGGAGACAGTCTTTCTAGAAACCTAGTTGCTAGGGAAAGGAGATACCCACACATTTAGATTATCTATCATGTGATCTGCAGTTCTGAATAATAAGCTTTACTCTTTATTCCTGAATTTTGAACTAAGAAATACAAGTATCTGCCTAAATATCCTGAAATTTGTGTGAGCATTTTAGAGTGCCATACAAATATAAGGTAATGCAGTGGAAATGTTAGTTTTTATACACTTTAAAGTCTTCGATGTAAAAAGGCCACATTACAGCTAACTAAAGATATATGTATAAACATAATTTGAATACTCATCAAATTACGGCTTAAAAAAAATAAAACTTTACCACGTTAATTGAAGTGTTTGTATAAAGGACTGAACACAAAAAGAAACTATTTAACCTTGTTCTTTATTTTGTAGGCCAAAACTTTAGTGCCATTTAGTGAGGATTAAATATTGGAATCTAACCTTAAAGGTTAATGTTCTGATCTTGGGAATGTGGGTTGTGAAGCTAGAGCTAAGTTTGAGTCTTGCCTTTTCTGCCTGATAGCCTTGTTTGGCCTTGCTAAACTACTAATCTCCCTGAGCCTCACTTCTCTTATGTATAAAATGGGCATGTTAATATGAAGCTTCATCATAAGGTGCTGTAAAGATTAAGGTGCTGTAAAGATTAACGTGCTACACAGTAAGTACTCTAAACATCACTTCTTATTCTCCTTTTTCCTTGGCCCAGGGAAATCAATCTGTCCTTTGCTTCTGACTTTATATTCCATGTTCTCAAAGATGCTTGTCCTGACCACCCTTCCCCAATTTAAGTTCAATTTCCTAATTACCAACAATCACAAGTTCTTTACTTTTCTGTTACTATGATAACCACAGGTATTTGTTTATCCTCTACTTTCTATCCTGGACTACACACTTTTAAAATCAGGAACCATGTATGCTCTACTAATTTCTATAATTGTAGTGTCTGACATAATTTATCATCATGAATATTTTTTATATATTCATTTTTATCTGGTGCTGAGGATTGAACCCAGTGTCTCACATGTATGAGGTGGGTGCTCTACCACTGAGCTATAGACCCAGCCCCATCATGAATATTTATTTATATTTATTTATTTATTTTTCTTTAAAAAAATATTCATTTTTTAGTTGTATTTGGACACAATACCTTTATTTTTCTTTTTTTTTAATGTGGTGCTGAGCACTGAACCCAGAGCCTCTTGCTTGCTAAGTGAGCGCACTGCCACTGAGCCACAACATCAGCCCCATGAATATTTATTCAGTAATTTTTGCTCTGCACTGACTGACCTCCTCTGAATTTTTTAAGTGAAACATTAGCCAGTGAGAAATAACGAAATTCCCGGTGCACTTTGTTCTGAGTGGTGCTAGTTGCTTCTGTGAAGCTATCTACATTTCATATCAAGTCTGCAATGTCTTTGGAAGAAGCTGTCTCAGATGCCATTGTTTCCTGTCTCTTAGTCTCATTTGTGACCTTCAAAGTCAATTTTTTTGTGTGCCCATTAGATAGATAATTCCAAAAAAAATAACCTCTAATCTTGGTAAAAGTGTGCAGTATTATTTGTATGATGTGATCTCAAATCATTTTCATATTTTTTTGTTTAAGGTCTTTTAAAGTCAATTATGGTTGAGTTGTGGAAATGTGGCATGTCTATGGCAAGATGAAAATTCCTCACATTCAGAGATGTTTCTTCAAAAGTGTAGATTGCAGTTTAAAAATATGGTTAGCTCCTCTGTTATTATGTCAGATCATAAAACCACAAGCTTTCTGGACCACTGTTTTCTCTCAATACAGAAATGCTTTCACTTTTTTAAGAATATCCCCCAAATATTAGAGGGCCCCCTAGTCTAAGCTTTGACACAACTACTTATCTATAATAAACTGT